CCGCCCATCAACATCTTCCTCAAGACCAAATCGCTTCGGACGGAAGACGATGCTATGCGTTTGGTGGGATCAGGAAGATGTCATCTACTACGAGCTGTTAAAACCTGGTGAAACTGTTAATGCTCACCGCTACCACCAACAACTGATCAAATTGCTCTGCGTGAAAAAAGGCCACATTATTGGAAAAGACATGACAAGCTGATTTTCCTCCACGACAATGCATCATCGTGTCAACAATGGTCCAAAACTACTTGGAGACATTCAACTGGGAAGTGCTACCCCATCCCGCTTACTCACCAGACCTGGCACCTTCTGACTATCACCTGTTTTCGTCGATGAGCCACGCGCTCGCTGCGGCACTTCGATTCTTACGAAGACGTCCGAAAATGGCTTAATGAATGGTTTGCCTCGAAAGATGAGGAATTTTTTTGGCGTGGTATACACAAATTGCCCGAAAGATGGGAAAAATATAGTTAGCGAGGGCAAGTATAAATTTGTTTTTGTTTCTTAGGAAAAAAAAAAGTGTTTTTCTGAAAAACAGCGGATTTAAGTTTATACACCACATAAATAGATGATAATGTTAATGTAGAAATTGATACCTTATAATAAGAGGTATGTCTAATTTTTATATATTTATAATTCTATTTCTCTTTGGAATGACTAAGGACGCCAGTTTCAAAAATGGATTAAATACTCTACTAGCGTTTTAGACTGCGCGCATGTGCAAGTGAGAAGCCTTGACAGCATTGCTGTAGCATATAGAACAGAGAAAAATCTGAAAGAGGACATGACGATTCAAACCTGTAACCGCAAAATGTTGCCGCGTATCTTTTGACAAAATGAATTACATAGCAATGTCCACTTTTCTTAGGATACAGCGTCCACTTTTCAAGGCTGGAGATGATAAATCGATATTCATATAATCGTGCTACATGTAACACACTGTTGTAACACAGGTTATTTTGTTTAAAACTTTTTTTTTAAACATCAAATTAAATTAAACATACTTTTTTTAAAAACAATTTAAAACAAATGTTTAAAACGTTATTTAAAAAAATTTTTTTACGTCGATAGCTTTGCGTTTTGACTCCGGAACTCAAATTGGACAGGCCTGCTCTGAAGCTTACTGATACGCATGGTACTGTACAAGAGGTCGGAAATCCATACAGGGAATTGAAGGAAAGGAAAGAAAAATCTTTAGGTCAAATTGTAATGATGATTATAGACTCGTCAAAAGAACAAATATAAAATTGCGCATCACGTCGAAAATATTAACAAATTTTGGATGTTCTGACCGAATTTATGTCTAAAAAACAATGTTTCTCTATATACATATACTGCGATCATGTCAGAAACGTAATGGGCACAAACGAATGGGCATTAAATTTAATGGATAGTTTAATGAAAATAAACTAAAACAATTTAATTTTCAATTAATGTTTTTCGATACACTTTTCAAGTTTTCAGTTACTACAAATTTAAACATCTCATTAACGTATACTTAAATAATCTTTAAATTTTATTCATCAATGAACATTAAAGATTAATAAAATTTAAGAACGTTTCTAATGGTATACAATTAAATTTGTTAAACAGCAAGAAACATGTGAAAAAAAATCTCAGTTAAATGTGTCATTATACATGGAAAAATAATATATCTGAATTTATAATGTAGCGGCTATCTACGCAAGCTTATACTATAATTTCAAGTGTACATGCATTAACATGTCAAAAAATAAAACTCCGACTAAATGTAGCATAAAATGATGCGATAGCTCCGACGAAGTGTGTCTTGAAGCGTAATTAAATAGAAACATCGTATAATAAAGCAAACGGAAAGATATAGCGACGATCCGCATACGCTTTGCGTAATGCTCTAATTAATTAACATATCTATAATTATGTTAAATCATATTTAATCGTACTAAATAATGTGATTTATAATGATAAGAAATGTATAAGGAAATCTTCAGCTAAAATAAATTTTTGGATAGTGTAAACGCGATGCGGCGAAACACATAGGATCGCCATGCCAGGCTGTGCTAGGCAACAAAACGCTACTTCTCTCTCCGTACGCGCCGCCACTCGAGTGTGGGCCGTTCTACGAATTCGCGCGGCGCGGCTTAACGCATATTGGCTTAGACGTTTCCTTTTCTAATTCGAAAACTACAGCGAGTATCTCAAAATAGTACAAGAATTTTTTGTTCTCTTTGATTCATTCTTCGCCCCCCCCCCCCAAATGTGGCTCCGACTCATCTTAAGAGACACCCTGTGCGTGCGTGCGTGCGTGCGTGCGTGCGTGCGTGCGTGCGTGCGTGTGTGTGTATGTGTGTGTGTGTATCTTTGTTCTTAATATTCAGATACGGATGCTCTAATGAAAGGATACATGAATTGCAGTGTTTACAAATGAATCCATTTTTTTTGTTATTGTAACTAACAAATTAATATATGATTATTAATCATTAATTATTAAAATTATGTTAACTTGTAATTGCAAAATAAAATATAATATTTACATGTGTAGACTTAAATTTTAAAAATATATTGCATGTACAAACCATAAGACAAGAATTAATACATAAATTAATTATTATATCACACACAATACACACATTTATCTTTAATAAAATTTAAAAATTTGTACTAAATACCTTCTATAGCTTAGAAAACAGTAGTCTAAATTATTCGAAAGAATATTTTTATCATCTTATTTGTTTCGTATATATTTATGCGAATATATCCGAATATAATTTTCAAAAATCATTATAATCTTCTATTATCACTCCTAGAAAAATAAGTAATACCAAATGTTATATTGATAGTCATGGAGAGACGATACAGTCGAACTCAGCATTTAGCTGTGTATGATTGTGTCGACATGTGTAGTTGGAAAACACCGTGTCCTACACAGTGTCTACTTGTGTCATAGCTGGAAAGCATCTCATGTCAATGCACATAGAAACACGAATAAGGCGCTAAATTTCTGACGAGTTGGAATTCTATGTCTATTCTCATCTTATAGCCCACCAATCAACGTTCAGATTTTTCATTCTGTTTATATATGCTATAACCTTGAAGCAGATGGAAGAATATACTACAGTTTATATATGAAATCATATTGATTGGCATTTTTATTTTTTCAATGATTGTGCAACGGGAGGCGACAATTATGTATCGCTTATTTCTATGCTATTTTCTTGTCGTTGTCACGTCGCATTGTGTTTAGGGTCTTAATCTCAAGATTTAAATAAACCCAAAATATTATAAAATTTATAATATTATATTATATATTATAATATTAAAATTTAAATATTACAAAGATTTAAATAAAAGATTTAATTCTGTGGATTCTATGGATTCTGCTCCTTGTATTCTTACATCATGGCTTTTTCAATTTGATTAATATATAATTTTCAATTTGTCAATATAGTGGAACTGCACTATGTCACTAACGAAATACTATCGAAGCTTACGGAAGTTGCATGCTTAAAATTTAAGTGATTATTAAAAGTAAGAACTGATAATACAGTACTAATTTCATGATTTATTTGTTTCATAAACATACATATATGTTTAAAATTTAATAATATTCGATTTTTATTTAAAATTGTGATTTGAATGTTATCCGAGTTTGATTATCAATAGAGATGATAACTGCAGAGAAAAAATTGTAATTTTTCAGCAATATATAAAATATTATAACATTGAAAATATGCATACTTCCCATACAGAAAAATTGCAAAACGATTGCAGATATCTCATTATAATATTGTAAATAGATTGCAATATTGTTGTAATGTTATAGCAGCATAAAAATGTCCGTCTTCAGTAAGATTGCGCTGTAATGTCGCAACGCAGTGTATTTGCAACAATTATTTTAAAAAATTTTTAATTATTACTGAATATAATTTGAAATATAATTTGTGACATAAATAAAAAAGATGCAAAAAAAGAATTAATCAATATATGTTTTATATTATAATTATCATTATATTTTGTACTTAATTGCAAATTTTATATATATTTTTTAAATTTTACATATATTGACATATATTTTATACTTTTTTCGCAAATATATATTTTACACTTTATGCAGGTAGGCACGCCTATTTTGTATACATATATTCTTAATTAGTGAAATGGAAAATATTAAAAAACTCTATTTCATTTTCTTTGCAATATTTAAAGAATTTTTTTAATTCAAATATTTCAAAAAATTATGAGAGTTGATTACAAAATTTGAAAAATCTTGTCGCGTGACAAAATATTTTAACGAACATTATAATTTCTAATGGCTTCCGCACACTGGATGCGGAAAGATTTGCCGCGCGACAAAATGCGACGAGATAACCAATAAATTTACATCTTAATATATTCATTGATTACCATATCGCATTTTGTCGCACGGCAAGCATTTCTGCGTCCAATGTGCAAAAGTCATAAATAAATGGAAATAACATGTAATTGACATTGTATGTTTCTACATGTGTGTACAGCAGTTCATTACTCAAAAATCAAAATACTTTTTAATCTCCGTAACAATGCAAGATTTATAAAATCATAATATGTAAGTATTATATATTACAATTCCTAATACCTACAATATTGTAGCGATATTACAACGCAATCTACAATATTGCAACAGTTCTGTAATGTTACTGCAAGTTTCTGTGCTGTATGAATAGTAAAAAACCTGAAAGAGAATATGACGGCCCAGAACTTGTAACTGCAAAATGCTGCCGCACACCACTGCCCTCTGACAAAGTGGATGTAAACTACATAGTAACACCCACTTTTCTTATGTAGTACAATTATATGAACTAAATATCGATTTATCATTTCCAGCCTTGAAAAATGACATACCCTAAGAAAAGTGGACATTGCTATGTAGTTTACATCCACTTTGTCAGAGGACAGTGGTGCGGCAGCATTTTGATTACAGATTTTGTCGTAACACTTACTTAGAGACTTAAATTGTAGATGTAAGTAATGCACAAACTTTGGCGTATGACGTACGATTTATTGCCATCTCTTGGAGACACGACAATAAGTTGTACGTCATACGTGAAAGCTTGTGCATACTTACGTCTACAATTTAAGTCTAAGTAAATGTTACGACAATTCTTGTGCTCAGATCCTATTAAGATACAATAGGTATACAGTCAGAGATTAAAAGGTTGCAATACTTTTTATTGATGGTTTTCGACAAAATTGTCAGAATGCGAGCCACTATTTGCGAAGCATACCTGTTAACGAGATGACGGAATCAAAATATACAAAGTATAAGTAAATGAGTATGCATTAAGCAAATATTTTATAATTATTTTGTATATTAGGGTAAGTATTCTGCTCACACATATAATGTTTCTGCTTAATTAAACAAGATATATAAATGTTTCTCTAATGTCTTTTCAAATCTAAGAAAACAATTTTTTAACTTTAGACACCATAAGACATGCCGCAGTACATATGCGATTAGAGAGAGAATGGATTATGATGTTTGCGAATAAGGTAAACTTCTTTGGAAAACAATCTGTCATACGTATTTATAAAAATATTTCTACATTTTGCAATATAATGACTTTTTTCACACTACACTGTAGAAATTTTTTCAAGAATAGATAAGAACAAATTACCCATATGGATACAGGAGCGTTTGAATAATAGTTTATTCAATTTATCAAGAAGAAGCTGTAATATTATATATCAGTATGTATACAGGTAATATCAATTTTTTATTACAGATAATTAATCTTTCAAGAAGTATTTTGTCCGAAAGAGATAGGCACAGAAATAAAAAGCCATTGATCTTCTTTTCGGCCATAAGCAGCGAAGACAAACAAGCTTAAACATAAATTTTTCGTGAAAAAATATGACAGAAGTTTAAGGTAAGAATATTAATTAAAATAAAATTATTAAGTCATTAACAACTTAAATGTTGTTTAATTTGTATTTTACAAAAATTATTTAATAATTTTGAGAAAATCTATTTATTATTAACACACACAATCAAATTTTCTTGATTTCTTAATTTTTTAACTTTTTAAACTTATGATTTACAACTTGTGCACGACATGTAATTTACGTGATGTTCAGATGTTCAGAAACGATCTTATCCTTACTGGAAAATGTAAGATATGCAAGCCAATGCATTGTAACTAGCGAAGTCGTCCAGGTAACCGCTGTAGTTTGTCTTTAAGGTTGTCTATGAACGAGAACATTGATAGTGAATACATAAAAGAAAATAATTCGTAAAAATATTGATATCAAATTGAATATTTTTATGAAGGATGAGATCTTTTCTGCATATCTGTCACATAATTAATATAAAAAAGCTGTTTTCTATGGAAATAATCTTATTTTTTATTTCAGGTAAACAAGATTTGGATATAATTTTATATGTATTTTAAATATGTTTAGTCAAACTAGAAATATTGAACTATAACTAATTAAAATGTATAAATAAATAATACATGGTGCTTGCCATTTCAAAAAATATCGTGATCTATACAAGAAAGCTTTTAGAAAAATATGCACAACACGCACGCACAGAACTATAATTCAACTATAACTTAAAACGTTAGCTTGCACTGCATTTATAAATATTTATATAAAGCAGCCTTTTAAGATGCACTAATTCAGTGTAGTACAAGTTATTAAATTCATCATTAGAAAACTTCTTCGTATTCTAGATTATTCCGGATATATATATCAGAAATATATAGAAATACATTGTTTAGTAAGCACATTATATATATATAAATATTGTCTGATATATTTGAGAATTTTTTATTGAAATGTGCATTTATTCTTAAGGTGAATTTAATACAGCGACACAAAACAAATTTTCCATTGTACTCATAGCGCTACGTAAATAGCTGCAATTGATGTAATCTTTTCATCATGCTTCGATATTTGATTTCATATCATCACAGCCATCGTTCTGAAAATTTTCGACAGTAGCCAATAAAGTGACCAGGAATGTGTTCGATGACACCTATCAATCTGAAAATAATAGAAACTTTTATATATATTTTAAATAAGCAAATAAAACAACATAATAAACAATATCTATATATCTATATATAGTTTTTGTTAAATATACCGGTACAGTTTTACAAAATTTAGTGTAACTGGAACATCTAGTAACTTGCATTGTAAGTCAGATTTCTTGTGATGTGTTCTTGTATCTAAATCAAAAAAATATGGAAATGTGAATAAGTTATTTCAGTAACTATTCCTGAGCAATTTTTTGTCGGCATTTAATATTGTAATAATGTTCATTGAATAAGACGGCGTCTTGCAATGCTTGAATACCTTTAGTATTGATCATTTTAATATTTGTTTCGAAGTATACGATATGATCCCTTGGTAATGATGATATACACTTCAGATATACTTGGCTCAGTCGGTTCAGAACAACAAAAAGATTTTTCCATGTTTTTCCAACATTTTTCCAACACAGTAATTGAGTATTCTGCAATCAACTTGTGTGGTTTGATAGAGGCTTTCCAAACTTGTATGGATCACGATATTTTTTGAAATGGCAAGCACTGTGTATTATTTATTTATATCTTAATTAATTATAATATTTCTAGTTTGACTAAACATATTTAATGTAAAATTATAACCGAATCTTGTTCACCTGAAATAAAAAATAAGATTATTTCCGTAGAAAACAGCTTTTTTATATTAATGTATAATTTATTTATATAACCTGTAGTATTATAATTAATACATATTATGTATTTCAAAAAACTACTATAAAAACTACTATATTAAAAATTCTAGTACTATTTTTATATTGATTAAAGTTATTGATCCAAGAATTATAGAATGAATAATTTTAGCTCCAGATTTCTGTTGAAGTTATTATATTGGGTTGTCCGGAAAGTTCGTGCCGACTAACTTATATAATTTAATAAATGTATAAAATTTAAATTTTCTACGTTTCCTTCAAAATTTTCCTTCAAAATCGGCATGAACTTTCCGGACAACCCAATAGTTTTTCCTCCTTTGCTAGTTATCAGATCAACTTCAGAAATTTCCTTTATCTCAATAAAATTTGGATGTCCCATTCTACATCATCACTCATATTCACCGATTCCCTCACTTCTCTAATTTACTATTGATAAATATCATTCTCTCTCTCTCTCTCTCCCTCCTCTCTTTCTCTCTTTAAAATTTCTGTAAAATACAATGTCTGTAAAATAAAATATAATTTTTAATACTAGATTTTCTAATTATTGTCATTGTAAATATTTAATAGACTAAATAGTTCTGTTCTTAGTAGATACAAGGGGAGATAATGATTCTTCAGGAAGACTTTTGAATTGTTATTTATTTGAATTGTTATTTAAACGTTATTTACAATTATATAAAATGAAAAATAAAGTCAGTAAAAATAATTATTTTAATTAAATATAATTATTTTTATGACAATATTAGGTTAATAAGTTTATTTATCATTTTTCCAAAATATAACCTTAAACTTTGAAATAGATTAATTTTATGAAAAATAAGTCAATATGAGCAAAAGTATTAATTTTTGCTATATTGACTATTTTTTATTTACTATAATTGGAAATAATAGGATTACCTAGATTTTTGGATAAATTATAATCCTGCGTCAAAGTACACAGTTGATAATATAGAAAATGATACCGCACAATGACTAATTTTTATTAAATTTATGTAATAATTATTATTTTCCAAATTATGAGACTGTTTTCCTAAACTATCCCAAATTGTTCCTTTTCTTTTGCAATAAAAAAACCGAGAAATGTTACATATTTTTGCTAACTATACGTACGATTAATTTTCATTTATTATAAATAAATTATTTCCTAAATTTTTCCAAACTATTCCCGAATTATTCCAATTTAAAAAAATGAGAAATCTTAAACTTATCTGCTAAATATATGACGATCTTACTTACACTTTGTATATTTTCAGGTCTGTTTTCTGTGGCTGAATTAGTGTACACTTTTGGATCTTGAAGTGAGATAAGTACATATTTGATATTTGTTGAAAATGAGAAAGAGAGTGCCAGTCTAATGTAAGAACAGAAAATAGATCACTGCATTCCGTCACACAGACTATTCTATATACAGACTGCTAACTGTTTGAAAAAGTGCCTCCGATTTTGATGTAACATTGGGCCGGATTCCTTGGCGGAAAAGCGGAAGCCAATCGGAACTCGCAATAGGGCGGTACATTTCGCTTGTCTGCTTCTGTTTTTCCGCGAATTCTGATTGAATTCCGTTTTTCCGTTTTTTTTTCGTCAATATGTGAACCCAGCTTTATATGCATGCGTCGAGAACCGTTCCGCGTGACGTATCTGCACATGCGCACACATCAACATACTATTTTAATAGGACCCTTTAACCAGAGAGAGACTTGAGAGAGGATATGACGGCCCAAAATCTGTAACTGCAAAACGCCATTATTGTCCTCTGATAAGTGGATGGATAGCCTTATGTATCTCCCGCCTTGAAAAATGGACGATGTACTCTAAGAAAAGTGGATGTTGCTATATAGTTTACATCCACTTTGTTAGAGGGCAGTAGTGCGCGACAGCATTTTGCGATTACAGATTTTGAGTCATGTCATCTCTCAGAGTTAACCTGTTTCTCTCTGAGTTAACCTGTTTAGCAATATTAATATAGTATGAGTACATACAATATGGAACTTTTTGTGGTCTCCAATTTTTAGTGCATGCGTCGATTTCTAACCAGGAATATGGCTGCGTCTGTGTTCGAAAATATCATTGGTAGAATCCTATTATGAGAGAAGCGACATCGGCGTCGCGATTTCTGATTGGTGTCCCCTATCTCATTAAAGCAGCCATATTGTACTCGTGGAAAGCTGTCATGTTTCCTTTCTACAACTGAACTGATATGACATACACATACCTAAAATAAGTATGTATCTTTGTGTATTTGCAAAATACTTCCTGGTAAAATGGAAACATAATCATGTTACAAAAATATATAACGTTATTGCAATAATGCATTCAATAAAATTATAAAACTAATTTTATAATATGTCGTTTACCTTTTTGTGTAACATTGTTAATTGTATTATTTAATTCTATTATTTAATTGTATTATTTAATTGCTATATTATTCAACAAGAAAACATAAAAATTTTAAAGGTGCAGCCACAATAGAAAGAATAAGGAATAAAGATTTCAATCTATCAGAATCAAATACATGATTTCTGATAGATTGGAATCCTTACTCCTTATTCCTAATTCCTTATTTCTTCTATTGTGGCCGCACCATAATATTTACTTAACCTCATCCTGACGGATTTATGATTCTTACAATGGAATAAATAGTTTCATGGGAACTGGTCAGCTAGTCAATTGGAGCGGGCTAAATATAATGGCAGTGTTGATCATATGCTAAAGGTAGTAATGGGGGATGAATGTTGCTTCTCTCATGTATAGGACTCTACTCGTTGGTGTGTTTGGTGACTTCAGTGAATAAGTAGTGGGGTATCGTGTGCACCCTTTGGGTGGTCAGTGTTCTCGAATGGCTTCCATGTGGCGTGTGTCATCTCAATTCCATCTCACCGCTCACTTTTAATCTTAACTTCAAGCTAAACAATTCACCGGTGAGGAAAGGCGGTGGAATAATTGTAAAGTGGAACAACGGTATATGATTGTAAAAAGAAAGAAATGTAAGTCATTTCTTCCAAATTTCGAATTTCGATTGGTCGATTCCCTTATGCACTATGCATTATACGTTATGCAAGTCTGTGCTGCGGCCATAACACATCGGTTCACACCGACTTCCCTTGCTTTTCGCACGGGTGGTTTAATGGCACTTGTGATTCTCTCGATGTTTCCGAACGATCTCGCACACTGAGTACACACGAGTATTTCCAAACGGCTGGTATGCATTAGTGACACACCAGTGAGTATTTCCAAACGCAGCCTTCAGCAAGTTGAAATTACAGATTAGGTTAGCTGGATCTCCCTCCTATAAAATATAATTAACTCTTTCGCCTATAATTGTGTGAGACTCGTGATAAGGAAATCAAATAAGGGGATCAAATATGAGTATCACTCACTCATGGGTGAAAGCCGTGATACGTCGTTCGTATAAAACTTAATTTTTTTTTAATTTGTAAGAAAAAAATATGACAAAGGGTTAATCAAATTAAGTTTTACTAAAAAATTAAATCAAACTTTTTTGGAAACGCTATATTGTATAGACTGTTATATTTGTATACGATAAAATTCTTATTCTTGTAATAAAATATGCATATACGCGTGCGCGCGCATGTGTGTGTGTGTGTGTGTGTGTGTGTGTGTGTGTGTACGTATATTATTAAATTACAACTTCACATTTAATTACAATTTTCATATATTTTAATCAATTATTATTTTTAATTTACTTATTACTGTTTAATATTATTATTAATGTGAATATTATTTTTATATAATGAGTTCGTTAACATTATATTATTATATAAGTCTGATTTAAAAATATACTCGCTATAACAATTTTCATGACACGATCGAATTGTCTTTTTTTTTTTTAAATTATTCTGTAATTTTATAAAAACTCGAATTTATAAGCACCTTTCCAACTCACAACGGCGAGTGATGTAATCTGGGACTCATTATATCAAAAGTGATGCTCAGTGTCCATATTGTATGTACTTATACTGTAATATTAGGGGTTTCGCACAATAAAAGGAACAGAGAATATAAATTTTAACCTATCAGAAATCATGTATTGTGAAATATAGTTTTTGATAGGTCGAAATTCTTATTCTCTGTTCTCTGTTCCCGGTTTTGTGCAGAGCCTTAAAATGCCTTAAAATCACCAAATACTTATTTTCATAATTCAGCTATTATAAATTATTCTAATTTATAAGAAATTGAATAAAATCGCATCTTTAATATACGTTTATTAATATTCAATTGTCTTTCCAATATTTCTTTACATCTTTACATCTTTACTTGAATTCTTTCTCTTCCAAAAGAAACAATATTTTTCGCTATGAGTTCACACCATTTTCATAAGGTTATACGTTTAGTAACAGTTGATGCAAAACACAGCTATACTGCGTTCCTTTGAGTATATTCAAACGCATGCGCAGAACTACTATCATTTCGGGGTCCATTTCACATGAGCTTGTCCTATGAAATTAGCAATCTGTAGTAATATATATAGAAGTCTGTATTTCATTTCGTTGACAGCTCTCTGTTTCGCAAACAGTAGCTCGCATTCTGACAATTTTGCCGCATTCCGAGAACCACAAAAAAAAATGTTGCAACCTTTTAATTCCTGATGTACTACACAGAAATGCACAGAGTGTAAGGGACTTCGCACAATAAAAGGAACAGAAAATAGAGAATAAGAATTTCAACTTATCAAAAACTGTGTATGCCACAATACATGATTTCTGAAATTTTTCTCTGTTCCTTTGTTCTTTTTATTGTGTCCTGTAACATTGTGCACGATTCAATTGGAACAGAATGTGTATGTTGTGCACGATTGAGAAACAGGATAATTACATATAGTAATTACATACAGTACGTGCAAACAAAGAGTTCAGTTTTGTTTTGTGCATGCGTTGGCTGTAAAATCAAAAATATGGCGGATTGTCATAGCATTAAAACTGTGGCGACGACAATTGAACACAATAAATTACAATCAAGAGCTGAGTGAATATTGTGTATAATTTCGTAAACCTTGCAGACCACTTCATCAGGGTGAGGAGCAGCCTTATACTGAGTTGTTCCTCCGGGCCGTTGCTTTTATATTACGCTACTTGTTGGAATGATGGGAGGAAAGAAGAGAATTGTGGATGAAGTGAGAGATGGAGAAAATTGGTTGGTCTTCAATAATAATTAAGTAAATACAATTTCTCTCTCCCCCTCCCCCACACCCATAATTCTTTTCTCCCACCACTTCAACAAGTACCATAATATAAAAGCAACAGCCTGGAGGAACAATTCAATATAAAGCTGCTTTTCGCCTTGATAAAGTGAACTACAAGGTTCACGAAACGTTGGTATTCCAAGAATAAATCTGGACACGGAGGAAACGCGAAGCGCATAATCTTTATATAGAAAACCCGTGGAAGTCTCAAGAATATTGTGTAATTATACATATTAAGATGAATAAAATAGATGGAATCTCTTATACTTTTGCTACATGCAAGCGGCAACTATTAAATTTCTCACTCGCTTTAAATGATTACGTGAATAATGCATTAATTCTGACTGAAATTTGACCAGGAAGGGTTTGAAGAGTGATACTTTCCAGGTGTCATATTATTAAATGGATTGTGGCACCATCTCATAAAGATTTACTAGATTTATCAAACCACCCTCGTAATGCAATAAATAAATAAATACAATTGTTTTATCATTTTTTCTATCCCTATCCTATATTTTAAACAGCACAAATTTGGATACATGTCCAAAATTTGGAATAAAACGTCTTAAAAATTTATGTTATGGCGTTATTAAAGAGCTTTTAGAGACGTTTTATGTCCCCATTGTGCTATCTGAAATTGTCAATAAATTGTTGATTTACTAATATCATGTTTCACATACTGTTTTATGATTTCATTTGGTTCATTCCAAAACATACATTGAAATTAGAAACAAAAAATAAATCTGTATTAATATATATGCAATAATATATATAAAATCATATATAGAATTTATCTGAATTTTAAAAATATTTTATATGTGAAATGCTACATCTCTTGATGCCGTTCAAATTCAGCGGTAAATCTTAAATTCAGCATAAAATCTTCAACATGGTTGACAGTCACGTGATCGATGACCACCGACATCAAAAAAGTCCACAGCTACTGTTGCTACTATATAATTACACTGTGGTTGAGATCCGTTTCGGATAGAGTTAAATTAAATATAGCTTTTTCCGCCTATATTAAACAAAAAAAAATAAAAGTAGCGGCCAATGTCTTCCAATTTCACTTATAGCCACCAATTAGGAATATGTATTGTCACTAGAAAACACAAGCTTATACAGCCTTTGACTGAGATTGCGTTCCATGTAATGTTCATAACACTCGTGAAATCATTTCATTCTCGTCGTTTATCAAATGTTAAATAAGGACAAATGATTCTTACGAGCGTTAAATGAGCAGCCTGAGTACAGATTTGTAGTATTGTGTCAATGATAACGGACATTGGAACGCAACTTGTGTCACCGTGCACGAAAGTGTCTAGGGATATTGCAATTGAAAAGCACTCCATGTCTACTTGCATCATAGGAAGAGGTCAGTATTTGTGCTATTTCAATATAGCCGAAAGTGATTGCTGATGTATAGGAAAGTGATTGCTGATGTATATGAAAATACCGTCAATAGGTTTTAATAATTAATATGTAACATTTGATCGGATACAAAGAACACAATTTTTTATCGCATTAAAAGTGTCGGGTTCCGTATCAAAAAAAGAGCATTACTTTTTTGTTTTAAAGTACATTTTCACGTGTTGCTAAAATAAGCAATTAGAACGACAGATTTGTCCAGCGGCTGAAATTTTGTATTGGAAGTATAAATTAGTTCGGTCCGTTTCCCTAAAGATAGTTTTAGCTGTTGTGAATAGTTCATAGTGACA